GTGGAGGGTTCTGGAGGGTTTGGGGGGGGATGTCCAGGTGTCCCCCTTGCCTGGGCCACTCCCTGCATGGTGTCATTGGTTCTGGATGGGTGGTGACCCACCACATGTCCCCATTGGCAGGTCAGGGACCTCTACCTGGTGGGCATGGTGGAGGTGGACCACCATGGGAAGAGGAAGAGCGACAACCGGCTCAGCACCGGTAGGAGCAGCCAGTCCTGCCCCATCCCTCCCAGCAGCCCATGCCCAAGTGGCCCCTGCCCTGATTTTCCTCCCCATCCTTGTTTCTTGCACCCTGGCCTGTGTCCAGCAGGCTGTCCTGGTGACACCAATGGTTTCTATCCCCTCTGCCTGTGGCCCACGTGGGGACCCTGCTGCCTTCTGGGGAGGAGGCTGTGCCCCTCCAGGCTGCACAGATGCTGAGCCATGAAATATTGACAGATGCTTTCCCAACATAGTCACTGAGACTTGTGGGGAGGGTTTTGGGGGGACAGGGCGTGTCTCAGGTTGCTCCCATGGGATCCCTTTCCTCTTAAAGCATGGAGTCTGAGGCTGGAGGTGGACTGGGGGGGTGTCCCCTGTCTCTGCCTCCCCAGTGGCCCCTGGAGCTGTCTGTGAAGAGCTGCTGAGCTGGTGCCAGGCCAGCACAGCTGGATACCCTGGCGTGGCCGTGACCAACTTCAGCACCTCCTGGACCAGTGGCTTGGCCCTCTGTGCCCTCATCCACCGCTTCCGCCCCGACCTGGTGTGAGTGCCTGGAGCCCCCAGAAGCCTCCACCGTGCACAGCCCACCCTGATGGCAGCCATGTCTCCCCACAGGGACTTTGACTCCGTGGACCCCCAGGATGCCATTCAGACCCACCAGATGTTGCTGGACATAGCAGAGCAGGAGCTGGGCATCCAGCCTGTCCTCTCCAGCGCTGAGATGGCCACCTTGACAGAGCCTGACTGCCTGGACCTCATCACCTACCTCAGCCACTTCTATCAAATTTTTGGGACCTCTCCAGGTGCGAGGTTTTGGGGGGATTTGTCCCATCCTGAGCTGCACTGGGGCTGGCTGGGTCCCACCAAAATGACCATGTCCTGTGCAGAGGTGGAGGTCAGCAAGAAGCCACTGTCTCCCCCTGGCACACGAGGGGCCATCCTCTTCCTCAGCAAGCTGCAGAAGAGCCGGAACCTGGCACACAAACGTAGCCAGGTGAGGAACCCCCACCCAGACCCTCCTGGCGCACCACAACCCTGCCACACTCCCCACCCTTACCACCCCCTTGGATCTGCAGGACGGTGCCCAGAAGGACAGCGAGGCCAAGAGGAGCCGCAGGGACGCTGAGGTGGGGCTGCCCCAGGGGGGCTCTGCTGGGTGCAGCTGTCCTGGGGGGAGAGTGGGGGGCTGACCCTGCCCTTGGGTCACTTGTAGCTGGACACGGGGCTGGATGGAGACACTCCGGACAGTGCCCACGAGCTGCCACAAGCCACCGGGATGGACCCAGGGCAGGTTGGTCCTTGTGTCCCCTTGGGATGGAGGCTCCAGCTCAGGGCAGGGGGGGACCGGGAGGGCACCAGTGGCTGGCAGGGCCAAGCCAAGGGCTGGCACCAGAGCTGCACAAGAGAACGCCCACGGGTTCCCAGCTCCTCCCTGCCTGTTTCCTGACCCAACTGGTTTTCCGGAGCCAAGGCTTGCCGCTCCCTCAGCCATCCCAGCACCCAGACCCGGCGCTGAGAGAGGGGCAAAGCCCTGCCCCGTGCCCCCATGGCTGCTGGCACGGCCACGGGGCAGGGTGGGTGCCAGGCCCCCGGTGCCAGCCCCGCCTGTCCTGTCCCCCCGCAGCCCCCGAGGGACAGGACAGGGGAGAACAGCGACGCCTGCTACTTCTGCGGGCGCCGTGTGTACATCGTGGAGCGAGCCAGCGCCGAGGGACGCTTCTTCCACCGCGGCTGCTTCCAGTGCCGGCGCTGCGGGGCCACCCTGCGCCTGGGCGACTACGCCTTCGACGAGGAGGATGGTGAGACAGCTCCCGGGGAGAGGGAATGCTTGGGGAGCGGCTTCTCCACCTCGCAGGTCCTCACATGAGTTCGCCCCCTACCCCCTCCCACCAGGTAATTTTTACTGCTCGCTGCACTACCCCAACCCAGCCAGCATGGATCTGCCCCGGGATGAGGCTTCGGCGCTGCCTGATGGGGTAAATCACCCTAAATCCCTGGAGGTGATGGAGGAAAGGCAGAATGTTGAGGGGGGTGGTTGGGTGTGGCCCCTATGCTGCATCGTCCCTCTGCTCTGGCTCTGCTGCAGGATGCTGATGCTGCTGCCCACGCACCCTCAGATGCTGGAAGGTCGTGTGTGTCCCCCATGGAGTGGGCACCCAGCCCACTGCAGCCCACTCCAGCAGCCCCACAGGCCGGGGAAGAGCCTGGGGACGTTGAGGGCACTGCAGATGTTGGTGACATGGAGGAGCAGGAGCCGCTGGCACAGCCTGGGGAGGATGTGAGGGAAGAGCAGGTTCCCAGAGCGGAGCCCCAAGGAGCAGCAGAGGAGGGTGAGGAGACTGGGGGCAGGAGGAAGATCATCCTTACACCACTGGAGAAGCTCAGTCTGTCCACGCTGAACCTCACCAGTGAAGCAGAACCCGACCCTCCACTGAAGCCAGCTCGTCTGAGGCTCCCAGCAGCACCCGAGGCCCTCCCTGCCCTGCGGCAGGGACAAGGCGCCTGGAAGGAGGAGGAGGAGGAGGAGGAGGAGAAAATTGACATGGAGAAAGGTAGGTGGTACAAACTGGAGTCTCCAGAAGAGCAGAGCTCTCAATCCCTGCAGGACCCTGCTGTGTCCCACATCTTGCTCATGAGGAACCAGCCTGAAACAGCTTTTTCTTGGGCAGATTTGGAGGACAGTGACAGCGAGGAGGGGGAGGAAGAGGAGGAGAAAGAGGAGGAGGAGGGCACAGGCCTTGGCATCATGAAAGAGTTGGTGAGGATTTCCCCCAAGTGATGGTAGCTGGGGCTCTTGCTCCTCTCACAGAGGCATCAGGACTGGCTCAGCTGTGGCTGCCAAGGCAGGAGGTGCCTGGTGCAGGCACTGAGCCCCTGCCTGTGCCACCATCCTTTCACAGTACCCAGACCCCAGGGAAGAGGAGAAATTCCCCACCTGGAAGCGCACCTTGGCCCGCCGGACCAGGGAATCCCAGATGAAGAGGTTCTGCAGAGCCCAGGTAACCCCGCAGGAGACAGCCACGTCCCCAGTGTGGCACTGCACCCTGTCCCCTCCATCCTGCTGCTGGTGGCCACATGCTGGCAGGTGCTGGCCTGCAGGTGAGTGCTGCCCTTCCCTTACAGGCCATCCAGAGGCGGCTGGAGGAGATCGAGGTGACGTTCCGGGAACTGGAGCAGCAGGGCACCAAGCTGGAGAAGTTACTCCGGGATGAGAATGGTAAAGCCCGGGTGGACAGAGCACTGTGACCCTGCAGGGGGGGTCTGCACCCTGCTGACCATGCCCCTGTCCTGCAGACAGCCTGGCTGACCAGCAGACACAGTGGACAAACCAGCTGCTGTACCTGGTGCAGAAGAAGAACAATCTGATGAGCGAGGAGTCGGACCTCATGATCGCGTGAGGCTTGGGGGACGCTCCCTGGTGGGTGTGGGGGCTCACCTCACCCCAATCCCCTGCAAATTCAGTACCCAGCACACCCTTCTCCTCCCCACAGGGTGCAGGAACTGAAGCTGGAGGAGCAGCAGTGCCAGCTTGACGAGAAGCTCCGGAGCTACATGAACAAGGAGGGTGAGTGCCAGCCCGTGCCAGGGAGAGCATCCCTTTGACAGTGCAGGGAGCAGGTCAGGGCTTGTGGCCTTCCCAGCTCTACTCTGGCCCCCTGCACCCACAGATGCCCTGAAGACACCTGAGGATGAGAAGGCTGAGCAGGAGATCCTGAAGCAGCTGGTGGAGGTGGTGAACAAGCGGAACATCCTCATCCAGCTGCAGGAGGAGAAGCGGCTCAGTGAGCTCCGGGCTTGACCTGCACGGCCCCCGGGCCACCAGTCCTCCCTGGGGACCAGCAGAGTGTGTGTGAGTGAGTCCTGGGCTGAGCACCACCCTGAGCTACCTCTGGAGGTGGCCATGCCCCTGGTGCCAGCAGCTGCCACAGCAATTCCAGCTCCCTGCTTGCCAAAGTCTGTCATGGAGGGGCCAGACCCGCTGGTGGATGCCCACGTGAGGAGACACCAAGAAGCACTCAGCCTTGGCGGGCTGAGAGGGTGCTCCTGTGCATGGCTGGAGTGCCTTTGCCTTGTGCTGGCTGGAAAACTCACAGGGACTGCAAAAGGGGGCTGTGGTGGCTCCCAGCAGCAAGGAGGTGATGGCCACCAGAGACAGATGCCATATGTGCAGGGGCACCTTCAGGAATGGTCCCTCAAAGCCACCCTGGGACATCCTTCCCAGCTGAGGGCATCCATCCCAGTCTGGACTGCCCATCTCAAGGGATGTCTGCCTGTACAAGCTGGGGCCAGTGACAGACTGGGCTGCTCCAGCTGCTCTGCACCACTGCTTTTGGATGCCACGTCCACGCTGCCCCCAGCTGCTGCAGGAAACCAAGGTCAGAACTCTACTGTGAGCCCCTTGGGCCGGGGAAGGGCTTTTTGTCCTGGAATTCCTATGGGAATTGTGCTCAGGGCCAACACTTAACACCGAGGACAAGGGACACCAGTGGCTGTGCCCTCCTTGCCCCTTTGGGATTTCTTCTGCTTGGCAATGCCACACTGGCCTTTGCACAGACCCCAGATGCCCCTGCAGTCCCTGGCTGTTGCCTCTGTGGGCAAATGGTGCTCATGGCAGCCCAGATGTGTTGGGATGGGGGGTCCCAGGTGTAGCTTCCTCTCTTAGCAAGACCACCCAGTGCTCAGCCCTCATGCTGCCATTTCCCTCAGCACCTCCTCCAGCCCTCCCTGTGTTTGTACCAGCCCTACAATCCTGCTGCAACCCCCCTCCCTTCAAATAAAGCCCCCCCTGATCAAAGTGCCAAAGGTTAAAATATTGCCTTTATTTTCCATCAGTTAGGACTGGTTGCCAGAACAGCCACCAGTGTGAACTTTGAGGCCACCCCAGGCAAGGGCACCCTCAGTGTCTCAAGCCTTCCAGCCAGGCCAGTGGGTCCCTCCATGTACAAAATAGTGTGTTTAAAAAGACAGCAATAAAAATCTGCCTCCATTGTGGTTCTCACAGGGGTCAATGCAATAAATCTACCCCAAAAACCTTAATTTCCCCCAGAGGCAGCTGCCAAACCTGCACTACTGCATTGGCTGCAGTGCTGCTGGCCTAAGACCCGAAGTCAGCTAAAAACAAGGATGAAAAAGGGGACATAGTGTGGCCAAGGGGGACATTGTGGGGACACCCAGAGCCCCAGCTCAGCCTTCACTGGGACGCTCCTGCAGGGCCCTCAGCACCATCCACATCTGGTCCTCGGTGCCGTGCAGCATCTTCACCTCCATGGTGTGAAACAGGTGGAGACCGGTGGCGAGGACAAGGACGCCGAGGGCGAGGAAGGCCAGCAGGCAGAAGGAGAGCTTGGGGAAGGGCTGCTCTGCGCCCAGCCCAGCCAGAGTGGCCAGGGCAGCTGCAGCCTGGAGCAGCAGCAGCAGCAGGGCCAGCACAGCCATCCTGCCCGAGGAGTAGCGCTGCCGCCGCGCCGCCCGCAGCCCCGCGCCCACCTCTGCCCGTGCCTCTGTCACCACATCTGCCAGGGCTGGGTCTGTGGGGACAGGGCCATCAGCAGGGTGCGACCCCCATATACCATCCCTATGCCTTCCCCATATCCTTCTCCCCATCCCCACCGCTCTGCAGCCCTCCACCAGCAGCACCACAAGGGGAAACGTCCCCAAAGAGCTCCATCCAACCCCACCAGTCCATCCACCAGCCCCTGCCCAGCACAGAGTGGATGCTGGCAGCAGCCCCTCGACTTACCAGCTGTGCCAAGGGTGGCACCTGCAGGCTGCCCCTGCCTCTGGATGTGCAGCGTTGCCATCACAGCTTCATGGTCGGAGAAGGGGATGTCCACGCCTGGGGCTCGCCCCGTGGTGGTCTTCAGCTCTTCACACTTCACCGTGAAGCTGGAGATGGCCTGGGTGAGGGGACAAGGGGGTCACAGCAGTGCCTCACCCCCAGCACTCACAGCTGGTGGGCAGACACCTCCGTTACCTTGTAGAGGATGTAGTCAATGCGGATGCCCAGCGGGAAGGGCAGCAGCTCTGACTTGTCAGTGAAGCAGTTGTCAGGGACAAGGGTGCAGCCGTTCTTACAGCCCTGAGACAGAAGCCTGGGTGAGTTGGGGGCTCTTGGTGTGCCCTGGGACCCCACTGAGCCCCTCAGCTCACCTCAAAGTGCATGGCCTCAGCAAAGGCATCCTGCAGCCCCGTCCAGCCACGCAGCAGCCGGATGCCCACATCTTCAGGGTGCATGTTCAGGTCCCCTCCCAGCAGCACCACATCTGCTGCCTTTGAGGTGTGTCTGTGGGGACAAAGGTGGCTGTCCTTCCCTGCCCTGCCTGGCACCCCACTGGAGTGACTGGGACCTGCCCAGTGCTCCTCCACCTTATTCCTGACTGGCACTGGTGCAATGGGAGCTCTCTGCAGTGCAAGCCCTGGGAGCAGGGGTGACCTACACGTGTCCTGGGGGCCTGCAGGGGACACCCCCCAGCTGCTCACCTGATGAACTGTGCCAGCTCCCAGGCCTGCACCAGGCGGTGGGGCAGGTAGGCGTCCTTGTCCCGGCAGTACTCGGCGTGCAGCTGGAGAGAGAGGGAAAGCAACGGGGCTCTGACTCCTGCCCTGCTCCCTGCAAACCCACCCAACCCCTCCAAACAGTCCCTGCCAACACCTCTGTCTTTATTTCACCCCCACTAGGGAGAGCCTGGGATGCTCACCTCAGTGCACAACCAGGTTATGGATCCCTGCCCCCTGCCCTGAGCAATATTTTATTAAATCCGGGCATAGAACAGGGCAGAGGGTTGACAGCAGGGTTAGAGCAGGGGAACAGTAAAACAGGGGTATGGCCACTCATTCCCCTCCTCCCCAGAACTGGGAATTGGATTCTTCCCTGGGCTGCTCACATGGGTGACGTAGACATTGAAGATGATCCCTGAGATCTTCATAACGACGAGACCGACGGACTTGCCGCAGAACCAGTCCCCGTGCTGGAGCTGCCCAAGGGGAGGAAGGGCAGGTCAGGGCTACTGAGGCTCTGTGGGGATGGACACCATGGTGCCACGTGCCCCCCAACCCCACCTACCATGTAGGGGTACCCGTTCAGTGAGTACTGGTAGAGGAGCATGTCCAGGATGGGGAACCTGGAGAAGACGCAGAGGCCGCTGCCGATCACCCCACTGTGGGAGGGAGGAAGCACAGTGAGGAGATGGGGTTCCCAAAACCTCTGCCTTGCCCTAACCCTGGGCCAGGAGGACTCCCTGGGTGCCTGGATCCATGTGTGCTCCCGTGAGCACCCCACTGCCCAGGCATGGGGTCTCTCACAATGACAGAGGTGACCTAAAGGACCTGCAGCAGTCCCTGCAAGTGGCAAACCCCAGGACATGGCACAGCCCTGGCACAGCCCCACAGACAGCCCCGGGGGGCTGAGCTTGCCCTTCTCACCTGCGGAAGTAATGGGAGAAGGGATAACAGCCTGCTAGCTTCACCTTCAGCTCACTGTAGTCCTGCTCGCTCCACACCTGGAGGACAGAGGGACAGGCTGAGGACAGTCATGGCCATCTCCCATGGCTGGCAGGGGGTGCATTCAGCTCACAAACTGGCCTCACCTCCTGCAGCAGCACCAGGTCAAAGGCCTCCTGGCGCAGCGTGTCCCCGATGAGCCGGACGCGCTGCTGCCGCCGCTTGCTCAGGTAGCGGATGGCCCTGCCACAGAGGGGTGACAGTCAGAGCCTGGCGGGGACAGGGCCACAGGGCTCTTGGGGACCATTGTGACCCAAAAGGAGGGAGAGAAACAGGGCTCCAGTACCAGCAGAAGCAGAATGCACATGGGAAAGATGGGAAGGGGAAAGGGCCATGCGAGGACAGGGGGACAAGATGCAGGGAGGCTGTTTGGGGACAGCTTCTCCTGCCTGCAGAATTGAGGCAGCTCATCCTTGCTTGGGGTGCAAATGGGGGATTTTTCTGGGGCTAACAAGCACGGAAGGGACAGGAGGCAATACCCAGCCAAGCACCTCATGACCCTCTGGGGCGGGGAGTGTGCTGTGAGCCCAAAATGAAGGGGCCACAAAGGTGACCCCAAGGTGGGACCCTCCCCCAGTGTGGTGCCCCCATCTCCCCCCACACAGCCTGGCGAAGTCTGGACTCACCAGCAGTTGAGGTTGAAGATCCGGAGGCGCAGGGTGGGCTCCCCCTCCATGGCTTGTTGGGGCTCTGTGGGGGTCAGCAGGCAGTGCCAGGCAGAGGGGGCACCTGCGGGGAGCGGGTAGGAGTGGCAGCCCCCAGGAGCCAGTGCAGGCTGCAGGACAGAGCCAGGGAGCCAGGCTGGGAAGGCGGAAGGGCTGAGGCAGGGCAAAGGCCAGGAAGGAAGGAAAAGTGCTGAGGGTGCTCCAGGCCTTTCGCCTCCTTTCCTGCACACAAGGACCACCCCGAACCCTAAACTGCCCCCGTACAGGGATCCATGTACCCAAACCACCCATGTCACCCTACACCCAGCGGTTGGGGACACCAGTGGGCCAGGGATGGGCTACAGGGCTCAACCCCTCTGCCTGTCAGTGAGTTGTGCTGCAGGATGGGCTTGCATCCTGGTTTCAAAGCGGAGCTGCGAGGCACGGCCGTGGGACACCGTCACACACCTCCCCACTCGGGAAGCCCACGGATCCTTTTCGGGACCCCAAACCCCGGCGGAGGCAGCAGCTCCGGAGCAGCCCCAGCTCTCCGCCAGCTCCGCTTCCCCCCTGCCTGATCCCGTGCGATTGTCCCAGTTTCCGGTTTAGAAGCTAAAAAGAGCAGCCCCGGAGCTCCAGGATGCCGGTGAGAGCAGCCAGGCTCTGCCTGCCCCGGCGGGATCAGCCCGTTCCTGAGCCGCTCTAATTAACGCCGGCGGCTTCCACCGGGCCTGAGCCCCCAGGGGCGCTCCCCGTTCCCCGCGGGATGCGGCGGGGACGGGAGCGGGACAGCGGCAACAGGTGGAGCGGGGAAACGGGAGAGCGGGAGCGGGGAAACGGGAGAGCGAGGAAAGGGGAAAGAGGGGACGGCAGCGAGGATAGGAGCGGGGGAGCGGAACAGGAGGAGCGGAGCCGCAGGACGAGCGGGGGTGGCAGCGGGGTAACCGGAGGAGCGGAGCAACGGGAGGTCCGGGACTGCAGGAGCAGCGGGGCCGGGAGCGGAGCAACAGGCGGAGCGGGACCGGAGGGAGCAGGACCGAGGGGAGCGGGGCCGGGAGCAACGGAGCCGGGCGGAGCGGGCCCGGGGGGAGCGGGGCCGGGAGCAGCGGGGCCGGAAGGAGCGGGACCGGGGGGAGCGGGACCGGGGAGAGCGGGAGCAGCGGGACCGGGAGCAGCGATCGGCGGGGCCGGGAGCGGACCTGCGGCGGGCCGGGAGCGGCGCGGGGCCGCGGGACTACGCGTCCCGGCAGGCAGCGGAGCGGGGCGGAAGGGGCAGGACCGGGACCGGGGCCGGAGCCGCGGCCGGGGGGGTGAATGGGGCCGGGAAGGGCGGAGGGAGCCCCGGCGGGTGTGGTGGGTGTAACGGGGTGTGATGGGTGTAACGGGGCGCGCCGGGGGTGCGGGGGGGATAGCGGGGTGCGGGACGGATGGGACAGCGGGGTACGGGAGGGACAGTGGGGTGCAGGAAGGACAGAGGGGTGCGGGAGGGACAGGGAGGTGCGGGAGGGATAGCGGGGTGCGGGAGGGACAGCGGGGTGCGGGAAGGATAGCGGGGTGCGGGAGGGACAGAGGGATGCGGGAAGGATAGCGGGGTGCGGGAGGGACAGCGGGGTGCGGGAGGGACAGCGGGGTGCGGGAAGGATAGGGGGGTGCGGGAAGGATAGTGGGGTGCGGGAAGGATAGTGGGGTGCGGGAAGGACAGCGGGGTGCGGGAAGGATAGTGGGGTGCGGGAAGGATAGCGGGGTGCGGGAAGGATAGTGGGGTGCGGGAGGGATAGCGGGGTGCGGGAGGGACAGCGGGGTGCGGGAAGGACAGCGGGGTGCGGGAGGGACAGAGGGATGCAGGAAGGACAGTGGGGTGCAGGAAGGACAGTGGGGTGCAGGAAGGATAGTGGGGTGCGGGAAGGACAGAGGGATGCAGGAAGGATAGTGGGGTGCAGGAAGGATAGTGGGGTGCGGGAAGGACAGCGGGGTGCGGGTGGCTCGCAGGCCAGGGGAAGGCGGGCGGTGGTGGAACGCGTGTGTGTCCCCGAGTGTAGGATGGGCTGTGAGTACCGACAGCCGGGACACCGCGAGCAGCAGCGCTTGGAGGGGTGGTGGTGACACAGCAACCCCTCTGTCACCCTGTGGTTGAGGGTGCGACCCCCCAAAAGGTGTTCCTGAACCCAGGGAAGCGTCTGCCATGGCCAACGCAACTTTCCCCAAGCAAACCCTGCAGCAGTGATGCAAACTAGAGCGAAACGCAGCGGGATGTGGCATCTGGTACCCAGAATTGGGGTACCCAGTGTTACCCAGCCAAGGGGTTACATGGGACATGGCAGCTCTCATAGTCCTATGAAATAAAATATGAACTTCAGAACTGCTTGAGCCAACCCATGAACAAATAATTTTAATGGTTTTTTTTTCAGCGGACCATAGTTTTCTCGGAGCTCCACAGTCTCCTCTCTTTGAAGTTGGACAGATACAGTAAACACAACAAATATATGATACAACCCATCACAGCTGGATTAAAAAAAAATACACAAAAAATATAATACATAAAAAAATGGATTTTTAACATTGTGGACTGACGCAGCTCTAAAAATGGTGATTGTAACCCTGGTAAGCTTTACAAAGTCTTTAAAAAAATAAAACAGTACTTCATGTGAAATTCATAAATACACTGGAGGCGAACGGAGGGGCTGGGGGAGTTGAGAAAGTGTCTCTGGGATCATGACTAAACCCCAGCCAGGGCTGCTGGGGGCACCAGTCTGTGTGCGTGGGGTGCAGTGTGAGCCCTGGGCTCGGTGCAGGGAGGGAGGGAGGGATGGAGGCACAAACCTGTCCAGTTTAACAAAGAGCTTCATCCCCCAGCAGAGCTGGGAGTGGGCATGCCTGTGTTTTATGGTGGGGGAGTTTTGAGTTTTCATTCCCAGAGTTTTAGATGAGTGAGTGAAACAGAAGAGAAAAAAAAAAAACAAACCAAAAACCTACAAAACAACAAACAAACATGCTACATATGAGAACTTGGCCCAGCACAGCCCTGGCATGGTTTGCCAGTGCCTGGCCTTGGATTTTTCCCTCTCTCTTTCCCTCCCTGCTCTGTCTGCCCTGCTCACAGCAGCCACCTCAGTCCAGTCCCACCACTGAGCCCTGGGCCTGGCACGGGGCTGGGATGGCTCTGCCCCATCCCACAGGGATGGGTGCCTTTTTCCAGCAGCAAGAGGTCGAAGTCCCCGCGCTTCACAGGACACATGGCATCAAGGCAGCAGCCAAGGCACTTTCCTGAGCTCTGGAGCTGTTCCTGCTCCTTGCACTGGCAGCACCGAGCCTAAACCTGCCCTGTCCCCCTCCCAAAGCAGCTGCAGTGCCCCTCAAAACACTCCTGGCCTCCTTCCCACTGCCTTCACTTCCCTGCCAACATGAGAAACCCATCCAGACCTGGCCAGGTCGGGCTCTCTGTCCCCCTGCCAGCCTCCTGCCACCCTGCTCGCTGCCACCTCTGTCCCTCTGTCACCCTCCTGCACCCTGAGGTTGCTTTCCCCAGACTCTGCCCTTGCAATCACAGCCTCAGGACTGGGCACTCTGCCTTGGCTTACTTTGGGCTGCAGCCACAAAAACACCTCCAAGCTGACCCAGTCCCTTTTCCTGGCACCCCTCCTGTTCTCTGTCCCCTCTCTGTCTCTGTCCTTTCTGTCCCAAACTCTGCCCACTGACAGCTTGGCCCTGCATTGCTCAATTTGTTTTTCCCTGCACCTCCCTGGCCACTTCCCACAGGATGCAGGAGAGTGGATGGAGCAGTTTGGAACAGTCATCGCAGAAAAAAGGAAAAAAAATGTGAAGGAACAAAATAAAACAACAACACCAACCTGAAACAAGGAGAATGTACATATACAAAATAAATCAGGCAATCTGCCCTCACTGCTCTCTACTCATGACTCCTCAGCAAGTGACCACAGTGGGGACACTGAGCCTGGGCCAGCCCCAAGTGCAATTCCTGAACACAGCAAGTCCCCCACAAATCCCAGCCAGAGATGGAGGCATCCCAAACGTTTCCCTAAACAAGACACTTCCCATGCAGGGTGGGAGGGCAGCACCTGGGCACTGCAGAGGGCCATCAGCCTGATTACAAGCATGGTGTCTTTTTAAAAAGTATTAAAAAGCACTTTCAATTAAAAAAAAAAAAAAGGAAAAAAAAGGAGCCATAAACCCCCATGGTTTGCATTGTCAATGCCCTCATGCCTTCACTGCCACTGGCTCCCAGTGCCCCAGCTGGGCATGGAGAAGGAGCATCCCTGGGGGTGGCAGCGTTCCCCTCCTCCACTCTGCCCTGCCCTGCCCGTCCGTCTGTCTGTCCCCACGTCCCCCAGGCTGTGCCACGCGGTGCCAGTGCCACTGTCGCTGCCATGCCAGTCACCATCCATCACACCTGGCACGGTGCTGCATCCTCCTGAGCGTCCGTGCTCGCTGCTCTCCTCTCCACTCAGGGCTGGGAACTCTTCTGAGCAAGGCTGGGCTGAAAGGAGGGGTCCTTCTCTGCTCCCACGTCCTGCTGCTGCTGCTGCTGCTGGCACGGCGGGCTCCTGGCCTTCATCAGCAACACCGAGGGCTGCTCTCTCCCTCTCCAGCTCCAGATGTGGGTTCTCCCTACACTTCCTTTCCCATTCTTCTTTTTCTTTTTTTTTTCTTTCTTTCTTTTTTTTTTTTTTTTTGGTAGTTTTATTTATTTATTAAAAAAAAAAAAAAAAAAGAAACTGTTCCTAAGTAGAAAACATCTGCGATCACAAGTCAGTCTTTTTTGGCTATTGTTTTTCTTCCTCCTCCTGTCTTCAAATGACTTCTCCCAAGGCAACAGGCACAAAGGGTGGCTTTTCTGCAAGGCCCCCTCCCTCCCCTGCACGCCCCTCGTGCCCCTGCCTGTCCCCAAGGGCCCCTAGTCCTTGACCAACTTGTACACGTGGTGCTGGGCGCCGTGCTCGCTGGTGGAGACCTCGAAAACGAAGGCAATGCAGAGCAAGGTTTCCTGGGTATCCCTGTTGGTAACAACCTGCAGCAGAGCAGAGAGTGTCAGGGGGGTGCAGATGCTGTGTGGATACCTGGGGGGCTCAGGCACAGCCACTTTGCACCATGAGAAGATTTGCCACCCGTTATTTGTAGGGTCACACAGGCAGTAGCACAGCCAATTTAATTGCACCATCAAGATTTACTACCCAGTTTTGGGGATGTTGCACAGGCTCAGGAACAGCCCGAACTGCACCACCAAAAACTTGTTTGGGGGAGGTTGCATTGGCTCAGGCCGAGCCACTGCATTTGCACCACCAAAAACTGCTACAGATTATTTGGTGAAGTCAAACAAACTCAGGCACAGCCAATTTAATTGCACCATGAAAATTTTGCTCCCTATGATCTGGTAGACTTGTCCAGGCTTGGACCACAGCACCACCAAGACCTGCTCCCTGGAATTCAGGGTCTGTGTGGGCCCAGGCACAGCCAGGTCTATGCGGGGCCAGCAGGGTCGATGTAAGTGTGAGCTCCACACTCCTGGTGGGACACACCCCCTGGAAAAGGAGGGGAGGTACCTGCAGGATGGTGAAATTCTCCAGGACACTGTTCATCATGTACTTCTCTGGGAGGTGCTTGAGTTTGTGGATGAAGTTGATCATGTACTCGCACATGGGGGAGCGGTGGATGCGGTAGACGAACCGGCCGTTCTCCAGCCGCGCGTACTCCGTCTGCAGGGGACAGCCAGCGTGAGCAGCTGTCCCATGGCTGCTGGTGGGACATGGCAATGTCCTCTCCACCCCACCCATAAACATGGCACAGGCACCCGTGTGTCCTACACCCAGCTCTGGGATTTTCTCCATCCCAGAACCCACCCTGGACCAACTCCGACCCCTTCCCGATGCAGTGGGACATGGAACTCACCTCCACCTTCTCCACGACCTGCTTCCCAAAGGAGCACACCTTGGTGGAGACTGTGATGGTCATGTTCTCTGCACTGCTGTACTGGCTGCTGACACCATAGAAGGTCCCTGGCCCGTCCTGGATCGTGCTGTTCAGATCCGCCTGAAGAGAGGAGAGGGACAAAGCTCCCATGAGCTCTGGATGGGGACAAGGGACACCAGCCTTCAGAGCTGCCCAGGGTGCTCCAGCTCTGTGACCGTGTTCACTCTTCCCTCTTAGGTTGAGGGAGGAGACGAGGATTTGTCTCCATGTTTCAGAAGGCTTGATTTATTATTTTATTATATATATTACATTAAAACTATACTAAAAGAATAGAAGAAAGGATTTCATCAGAAGGCTGGCTAAGAATAGAAAAAGAAAGAATGATAACAAAGGCTTGTGGCTCGGACTCTCTGTCCGAGCCAGCTTACTGTGATTGGCCATTAATTAGAAACAACTACACACGCCCAATCACAGATCCACCTGTTGCATTCCACAGAAGCAGATAACCACTGCTTACATTTTGTTCCTGAGGCCTCTCAGCTTCTCAGGAGGAAAAACCCTAAGGAAAGGATTTTCCATAAAAGACACCTGTGACACAGCTCTGCCACAACGAGCCTGCACCTCGAGCACCACCCTCCCCACCCTCACCCTCACAGCAGCAGCAGCAGCATACCCAGAACTTGACGAGAAAGAAGGAGTTCTGGGGCCCGCGCTCATAGAGCTCCTTGAGGCCGCCCTTCTTCTCGGGGAACTTGTCGTAGATCTGGCGGATGTCCACGGCCTCCAGCAGGGGGTCGCTGTACGAGGGGTTCGTCTGGCCGATGTGCACGAAGAGGTGTTTGCTGTACTGTAGGGAGCGGGGTGGGGACAGCAGCAGCACAGGTCAGGCAGGAGATGGAGTTTTATTATCCGTTATAAGGTCTTTGTGAGGCAAAGTGGAAATTTTCTAGGGTAGGAATCTATTTTGATTTAAGCGAAATGTACATTTTTGGAGTTGAGTCTGTGGTTAGAAAACATGGCTATTTAGCCTGACTGCAAAACCTAAGCTCAGAGAAACTGCTTCAATGAAGGACAGAGATAAGTGGGGGAGACAGAGGGTAATAGAGACAGAGAGACTGCTGTGAGAGCAGGTGAACCTGACCTAGGAATTCTTTCTAGAAGAAAGAATTCGAGAAGAACTAGCGGCATAAAAGGGGATAAAAATGGACCTGAAGTTCCCAGAGGTACACATGTCATTTTGAGGGGAACGATTCCCACATGCGTCCAGCGCTGTAATAAACATACCGGCTTTACAACTTTCACAAAAGTTGTGGAGTTTTGATTATCTCCGCAAAACATTTGGGATAGAACTTCTGTCTGTTAGTCCCCACTTTCTACAGTGAAAAATGTGCAGTTTTGTACAGTCTGTAGGTGTTACTGTAATGTGAGTGACCAGTGCTGTGACTTGGGTGGGAATAGCCATTAGTAGTTTTGGGGAAACAGTCTCCTTACTTTCATTGCAAATCAATTTATATAATTCACAGTTTCCTCTAGAAATTACATCTTTTGTACTTTGAAGGCAAGACAATTGAATTCTGCATGTCTCTTGTGTTTATAGGCAAGATCCTACTAAACTTTGCTTCTTGGTTGCCTCCATGCATAAAATTGAGATACATGGAGGACATAAAATTGAGACATGAAGGACTGGTAATCCTCTTGTACCCCCGTGTTTTCATTTTTGCAGGGGCAACATTAAAAAAAAAACAAAACCAAAAGGCAGCTATCTCCAAATTATTGAACTTTCTTCACTCCATCACAGTAAGTTTTCCTTCTAAGAAGTGATTGCACGGGGATGGAGGGGCGCCATCCCGGGTGCTGGTGGCACACGGAGGGGACTGTTACCGTTTCGGCGTCCCGGGGCACCTCCATGAAGGCGGAGTACTCGAGGAGCCGCAGCTTGGAGGAGGCGATGGTGCGGTCCTGCCAGACCGGCACGGCCGAGGCAGCTGGCGGGAGCGGAGCCAAGGGCTCGTAACCTGAGCCAGGGGGAGTGACACGGGGTGGAGGGACAGCCGGGAACCGGGGTGAGCCCCCCTGCAATGCTGCTGTACCCCCCAACTCCCATATCCACCTGAGCCCCCCTGCAATGCTGCTGTACCCCCCAACTCCCATATCCACCTGAGCCCCCCCTGCAATGCTGCTGCATCCCTCACCTCCCATATCCACATCCCACCCAGCACAGCGTGGATAAAACATGGGGGTGAACCCCTGTCCCCACTGCATCCCCCACCTCCTATATCCACATCCCACCCAGCACAGGGTGGATAAAACATGGGGTGTACTGGGTGGGAAGGGACTGGAGGGTCCTGCTCACAGTGGAGCTTTTTGCTGGATTTCAAGCCAGGCTTTTTCCCCACTAGAGAAGGGGAGGAGACACAGGTGGGTGGCACTGTGCATGGGAGGGGACAGAGGACAAACTCTGGCAGGGACTCTGGGTTCCCTCCAAGGGGGTGAGGACATGACTTACTGGCTAGTGATGGAGGCATGGGTGGCTGGATGGGGTAAGCTGGTTGTGCAAACGGTTTAATGCTGGAAAGGAAAAAGCATCATCAGGTTACCAAGCCCAGGATGCCCCAGCCCCTTGCCAGGGTGGGGTCCTGCTGGTGCCAGGTGTGGAGGGGTCTGTACTTACTCCTGAGAGGGTCCAGGCTGTCCTGGGATAGGCCCACTCCAAAACTGGGAAAACAGCACAGGGAAGAGTCAATGGCTTCTGACCCTCCCCACTCCCAACAAACAACAGGGAGCCCTGCATTGCCACCACGGCTGAGAATGGCTGTGGAACACCCCCCTGCCCAGCCCGTGGTGTCCCCCCAACCCCGGGGTGTCCCCATGGGGGGGTTTGGGGCTGTGCTCACCCTGGGGGCAGCAGAGAAGACGGCCTGAGGAAGAGGAGGGGGGGGGCTGAGCTTGTTCTGCAGGACGCTGGCAGACACGATCTGTGCTGAGGACATGGAAGCCATGCTCTGCAGAGCCTTGTCCTTCGAGACCTGGTCCTGGGGGGAAAAGGGGGGACAGGAGGGGAGCAGGGTTACAGGGGCAGGCTGAGCTCCCTCACAAACTGACAGGGTTTGTAAAGCCAGCAGCCAATCCCACAGCCCAGCCTGGGACCATGCAGAGGGATCCCCCCACCACCTCTCAAACTTTAATTAACGTCTGAAGCTTGCCAATACCCTCTGGGCAAAAGCTGATGGGTCTGGAAAATGCCCCCTCCCGCTGCTGCTGGTGGCCCTCCCCCCCTGGGGATGTGAAGGGTTTTTAGCCCCTCCACTGGAGAGGGCACAAAGCAATGGGGAACAAAAGGAATTTCAGACTCAAGCTCAACTTACCAAGTTCATGGCCTGTCCGCAAAAGAAAGGAAAAAAAAAGGTTAGAGTGCCATGGGAACCTTTGGGTACTCTGTACACCTCCCCTAAGTCGGTGCTGCTGTCAGCTGGGGTAGAGTTAATTTTCTCCACTGTACAGGCATGGGGTGGCTGCAAAGAGAATTAACTCTACCTGAATTAACTCTAGAGAGAATTAACTCTACAGCTGAAACCAGCACAACTGGGTCATCCCCACCCTGACCCGGGCTCATCACCACAGCCTGACCTGGGGAGTGAAGCCCTTGACCTGGCTGGTCACCAGGGGATGTCCATGGTGGCCACTGATGTCCAGGCTTAATTCCACCAGGAATGGGATGCCAAAGTCCCCCACCCACTCTTTGAAGAGGTCACTGTGGTGAGCCAGGCCTGTGCCTTTCTTGGCTTTTTATTATCCTGCACAGCCTCCTCAGAAGCCCCCAGTGCTTGTGGCTGGGGCACGGAGGGGAAAAGCTGCTGGGATGCCCTGGGATGTGGGCACCAAGTCCCCCACTCCAGGCACTGCAAGGAAAACCCTGAGCTCACCCCCCTGTGCTGTGTGTGCACTGACAGGGGAGACCAATTGTTTTTCCTTTTGCTCCAAAAGTCCCAGCACTGCTGGGCAGGAGCTCCAGGGCTCCCAGGTCCTGCCCGGAGCAGGGCTGCTCCTCCACCTGCATTGCTGGGACACGTTCATGCTGGTCCCAGAGCACACCCTCTGCTTTCCCTCTGAACCTTCCCCAGGGATCAATGCTTCATTTATTTTCACCTGGGGCAGGGCAGGAGGGCGGGCGTGCAGCCACATGCCAGGAGCACGAACACACACCTGACTGCAGCTCAAAAATACAGATATGCTCATGAGTGCAGCTCAAAAACACAGATACTGCTCATGAGTGCAGCTCAAAAATACAGATACTGCTCTGACTGCAGCTCAAAAATACAGATCCTGCTCATGGAAGTGTCTTCATCCCACAGGACATGGTCACCCCACAGTGCTGGCTGAGGGCAGGGGGCTGCCTGCACTGATCTTGAGAAGGGATGTTCTGTATCCTCCAAGTATTGCTCAGGGGGATCTCTGCCCTGGCTGCTCCATGCCAGAATCCTTCAGGCAGCATGGCTGGGGATGGAGAGCACAGCCATGGACCCCTGGGGTCACTCCTGCCTCCAACTTCCCTTTGCTCTGCACTGTGCCTTGTGTCAAGGAAAGATTTTTATTTTATTTTATTTTATTTTATTTTATTTTATTTTTTATTTTTTATTTTAATTTTGTAAAGGCTTCTGCTGCTGTTGACCCTGCTGCCTCTCCTGCTTCCTTGACTGCTCCTCCTGGGGCTGGAGACTGGCTTTAAGGTGTACAAGCCCAAAGAAGCATCCCAAAATAAGTTTCAAAAGCTCTCCCTGGTTTCTCCTAGCAGACCAAACCCTGGTCTGGCTGTGGGAGCCCTCCTGGCCTCCCTCTCACGGGGCACTGGGGTCCCTGCTGAAGGACTTTGGGCACACATCTTGGTGGGCTCCCAGGCAGTATGAGCTGGAGTTCCTGAAAAAGCCCTGAGGATGAAAATGCTCCAGCTCTGACAGTGCCCCTTGCTGCCAGCCTCAGTGCTGGAGATGGACACAGCACCCAGGACAGGGATGGCTGCTGGTGCCTTTGGGACCTCAGAGATTTCACTCACACAGCAAGGCAGCAAATCACCCCTGAGGCTACCCAAGGAGCTGCTCCCTGGTGTGGCAGTGCAGAGATTAACTGAGGCACACGGCAGGAGCTGGCTGTGCCCAGTGGGTGGCTGTGCTCTGAGGACCCCTCTATCCCCCACCTCGCAGCATGTGGGTCCAACCCAAGCAGGGCTTGGTCCTTTGGTGATGCCCTCAGTCCTGGCCATGCCCCCCATCCTCACCCTCCCCACTGCCACCACAAAGTTTGGTGGGAACAGTTATGGAAAGGTTAGTTGGGCTCCAGTTAGGAGGAAGGAAAGAAGGAAGGAAGAAAAGAAAAGCCAACCAGAAAAGAGAGAGAGAATGATCCATTTTTTTCTCACTTGGCTCCCTTGGCTCCTGGCACTGTCCCCAGCAGCATGGCCCCAGCTGGACCTGCTGCCACTCACATCCCTGTGGTGCCCCTGGCAGTGCTCACACCCTGGAGCATCACAAACCACTGGGGCAGCCTGCAGGGACCCCTGGGGCCCCTCTGCTTCTGCCCACATCACACCAGCACCTGCTGTGAGCTGGCTCAGGTCAGCTGTGGAGGGGAGGGGGCCTTGGCACACCCTGCCTGAACCTCACTTTGCCTCACTGCCTGCTCTGGGGGGCCCTTCTCCTTGTGGGAGAACCCCTGATGGCCCAAAAGAGGGGGCAGCCCTCCCACATCACCAAAGGAGGGTTTAAACCCACATCTCCCCATGGCAGAGTCCTTGCCTGGATGCAAAGAGGGGATCTGGCACCACATCCACCCTCCTGGAGGAACGAGCAGGGCTCTGCTGCCCCTCCTTGCACCTCTCTCTGGGCATCCCACAACGATGCCTGTGAAAACCATCTGACCCAAGGAGCCAAGTGAGGGGGAAGAAAAAAAACACCAAAAAAAAGAGAGGTAAAACAGGAAAGCAAGCAGCACACGGCAGAGCGCAGTGCGTTAGTGGCCAGGCAAGGCAGGGCGTACCTTCAGCTTGGACTGAATCTCACGAGATTTCCGTCGGGCAAGAACCTGCAAGTGGCTAGAGACCTGCAGAGAGAGAGCAGAAGGAGAGGGGGAACAGCAGAGCCGTCAACCAGAGGAAAGGAGGAGGAAGGAGAGGGGCTGCCCATGCTCACAGAGACACCGCCGCGGACACCTGGGCAAGGGCGCCAACGTACCTTGATGCCAACCTGGTACTCCCGCACCTTCTTCCGAGCTAGAACCTGTATGTGGCTGGACACCTAGGGCCCAACACGCCGTTCAAAAGGAAAACACAGAGAGAGTGAAGATCCTGCAGGGCAGGCTCTGTCCCCAGGGCAGGGAGTGCAGGAGTGGGCAGCGCTGTGGCTGCTCCCCGAGGTGCTGAGGGTGCTGCACCCGCCAAGAGCTGCAGGAAGGAAAGTGCTGGGGCACCCCAGTGCTGGTTGATGCTGGTTTGTGCCCACCCCAGGATGGGGTGGAGCTCCTTGGTGTAAAGCTGCTGCAGTTGAGGGGGTGCTCATTTAGCACCTCTTGGGGATGGACAGACAGACCCTGCCAGCACCATAAGCCTGGCAGGTTTGAGGCAGCCCAGGTCCTGTGGGTCCAGGAGGGACTGGCACATTGCCACAGGGCTCCTCCTGGTTTTGCATGTGGGGAAGGTGAGAAAGGTTGGGTTTTTGTGTCCAGGCCCCAGTAAGAGCAAGATCTAGAGAAAAGGGGCTGATGTGCAGGCAGTAAAGGCACAGCATGGCTGGGGGGCCATCCACAGGAAGGCTGGGTGTCCATGCACCCACAGGGCTTCAGGGCTGATTTTGGAAAGAACCTGCTCCCACCAGTGCCAAGCTGTCCAAGAGGAGACGCCAGGCTGTCCAGGAGATGAGTGCACAGAGGGATCAGTGCTGTGGGTGCTCTCTCCCATGGCTTTCCCAAGTTCCTTCCCCCATGGAGGGGGGGCCCAGTTAAGTGTTTAATCCAGAAATGAAATTCTGCTTGGCACTGGTCTGAACACAAAACCAGCAGCCAGACCCTGGTCTCTTTTCTTTCAGCACAAGTCCTGGAGGAATGACCTCTGCAGTGCTGGGGACCAGTGTCCCTCTCTTGTGGAGACTTGTGGCAGGGGACAGTCCCAGAATAAGTGTCCCCAAACCCAACCATCTCCCTGTGCTGGGGGATGCTCCCAAGCATCCAAGGCCATGGGCTCAGCTGGGATGGGTGGCTTGGCTCCTGACTGGGGACCACCACGAGGGGAGGGAAAAGCCACTGGACACATGACCAAGGGACATGTCCCATCAAGAGCTGCAGCAGCCCACTCCTCAGACAGGTTTGGTGAAGCAAGGGCTTGCAGGGACCTCTGTGTGCTCCTGCAGGGATCTCCGTGTGCTCCTGCCCTGCCTGCATCCCTGCCTGCCCCAGCATCCAACCAGGCAGGGCAGTGAGAGCAGGGCAAGGGCTCCGTGGTACCTCCAGCCCCACCAGGACCAGCACCACAGCTCCACACAGCCCATCCCTGGATCCCTGGCTGGCATGGGGATGCCTTGCTCTCAGCCCATGGGGTTTGGGGTGCCTTTGCTGTGGCACAAGTGGCATAAAGCCTGGCAAGGGGCAGAGATAGGAACAGTCCCAGATCCAGAAGGTGCATCAGAGAGACCCATGCAGGCACACACAGACAGACAGACACTTGTCCAGAGAGAGTCTGGGGGCTTCTGCCACCCACAGGGTCACCCCAACCAGGTGGGGGGCCCGGATGCTGCCTGCCCCCCCCAGCCCCCGTTTCAAGGCATCCTGGGACTGAGGAGACCCGAGGGGTTTTGTGCTCACAGACGAAGGAAGCTCCTCGCAGAGGATGGGGAACCTGCTGGCAGCCGCAGTGGCTTGAGGAGGGGACACAGATGACAGTGGGACATCCGCTTACCTGGCACCGCCTCCCACCCCGCCCCGAGCCCACCCCAGGAGAAAAAAGCAGAGCAACGCCTCACCTGCTTCCTCGTCCGTGTCTTCCCCGTTCGCAGCTTGATGTAGCGGGCGATCAGCTCGTTACGACCTGCGGGCAGAGCCTGGGGTCAGCCCTGGCACACGGGGGGCATCAGCCCCGGACCCCGCGGGGCATCAGCCCTGGCACAGGGCGGGTATCGGTCCCGGCACAGGGCGGGTCTCAGCCCCGGAATTCGGGGATCTCAGCCCCGGCACTCGGGGGGCTCAGCTCCGGCACAGGGGGAGTCTCAGCCCCGGCACATGGAGGGGGTCTCAGCCCCGGCACTCGGGGGGTCTCAGCCCCGCACTCGGGGGGCATCAGCCCCGGCACTCGGGGGTCTCAGCCCCGGAATTCGGGGATCTCAGCCCCAACACTCGGGGGTCTCAGCCCCCGTCCCCGCGCCCCCCGGGCCGGCGAGGGAGGCGCTGCCAGGAGGTGGCGCTGCCGCGACAGCGTCGGGGCGACCTCGGGGACACGGGGGTAGCCACGCCAGGCCAGGACACCCCCGATCCCCGGTTCCTCCCCATCCCCGGGCTCAGAGCGAGGCGACAGCCCCCAGGGACCCCCGCCACAAACCCCGGGGCAGCCCCAGCAGAGCCAGCGAGCCCACCCCGGGCAGCCGCGCCCGCAGGGGTCCCGGGCTGTCCCCCCCACCTCGGCATCCCCCTTCCCGTTCACAAGCCGTGCTGGCCTTTCCACCAGTATTTCCTAACGTCCTGGTCTAATTCGAAGCAGAAGTTGCTTTTGCGCCACATTTCAGGGGCCAGCTGTGGCCAATCTCCGTTCGAACGTCAGAGCAGCTGGGAGCTTTCTTCTCCCGGCCCCGGCCCCCCCGGCCCCGCCGCCGCCCCCCCGCGCACGGGGGCAGCCAGGCACGCCAGATTTATTTTAATGGACCAGATGGTCGCGGTTGGAACTTGTCGAAATGCCCTTGGAGCGGGTTTCGGCTTTAAAAGAATAAAAAAAAATCCCTTAAAAAAAAAAAAATTACGAACCCCCCCACCCCCTTCTTCCACCCCGATTGGCCCCCTCCCAGCCCCACAGCAACTGGGCCCTGCTGGGGGGACACACACATGGGGACAGACAGGGCCAGGTGGCACGCAGAGACAGCTGCCCCTTGCCAGGCGGGAGCTGGTGGGTGGGTGACAAAGGGGGTACCCCTGGCACGGCCAGCATGGCACCCTGGTGTCACCCTGAGGCACAGCTCCCACCCCTCCTGGCTCCCTGTCAGCACCTAGCAGGGGCCAGGTCTGCAAGGGTGTCCTCTGAACCCAGGTGAAATGACACCCACAGAAGGGACCCTGCTGCTGAGCCCCAGTTTGGGGGTACACCTTCAAAACCCCCCTTTGCATGCCCTGCTCCTGAATCCCATCCTCTGCCCCCCATACCCTGCAAATGGGATTGAAATATGGGCAAAAAATCCAGGGAAGAAATGTGGGGCCTTTGGGGACTCGGTGAGCCAGTGCCAGCCCCAGTGCCCAGCATCTCCTGCACCCATCCTGCCACACACCATGCCCAAGGCTGCACCCTCGCAGCCATCCCTGTGCCCACGTGCCCTGTCCCTTGTCCCTTTCCCTGTGATTCATCTGGACCGTGCCATTCCCTCCGAGAGGGCACGTCCTCCTCCAAATTACCACATTCCCCAAATTCCTCTCCCCTGACACCACCACGTGAACCAGTTGGACAGGCTGGGTTAAAAATAACCGAGTGTGTAGCAAGGCCCAGTGTGCCCGTGCTGGGTCCTGGCTCCCCAGCTCCCACCTTGCTTTGCCACCGCCACAGTGCTGGCACCAGCGTGGCAGGGGCTGGTACTGCCCTGGGCACCCATGGAACCCCCAAAAAGAGGGGTGTGAAGGACGGCAGAGGCACTGGCACACCGTTATGCCACATGCTGGCACTGCCTGTGCTGCCAGTGCCCCTGGTGCTCTTGGTAATGGCAGCCAGGGGTCCCGGGGGTCCCAGTGGGGAGGTTCTGGGGAAGGTGGGGGGGAGATGAAAGGCGGGCAGGGGCTGCTGCCTCTTTAAGCAGCTGCCAGATGTCTCTGAAAGGCTGGAAAAACCGGTTGGGGCGTGCTTCGAAGGGCCAGGCTCCCGGCGGCACTTCAGCTATTCCCAGAGAAATCCAAAAAATGCATAGGCTTGGGAAGCCCTGTGCTCCCCCGCCTCCTCCTCCCTCACCCCGCTCCTGCAGCAGCCCCCATGCCGTGGGTGGGGGGCCCTGGCAGATGGGGTGGCACAGGTCGCTGGCACGGGTGTGGGGACAGTGGCACAGTGCTCTCCAGCAAGCCTTGTGCTTCTGCCCCTCTCTAGTAGCACTGGGGGAGGCATTGCTGTGACAGCAGCATCTGGGCAGGTGTATTTTAGAGGCTGGGGACAGAGATGCCAGCCCTGGTCCTGTTGTCACCATGGGGTGCTGGTAATATGGCAGCCTGCTCCTGACTCTGAGGTCACTGGCCCTTGGGGGTGACATCACGGGATGTGCAGGGCAGGAGGTACCAGTCCCTCCCCTGGCAGGGACAGGAGCTTGGGAAGGCACCAAAAACGAGGCTGACACTCCAAAATCATCCCCCTAGTTGGGCAGACCAACAAAATCACCAAAAGCTGAGCTGGGTGCGGGTGGCTTGGGTGGGTGAGTGACCCTTGCCACAGGGTGCTCTGGCCACCAGGTCCGGCTGGGGAAGGTTTGGGGAGGTGTGTGGAGGCACAGGGGAGCAGGAGGGCTGGGGCTGCCCTGGCCCCGCAGTCCCGTGCCCGCTCCCTGCCCCACGGCCTCACCAAACCAGTCAGTCCGGCAGGGCCGAGAGAGGGAGGGAGCGGGAGGGAGGGACACAGGTCACCGGCACCTCCCCAGCCCAGCCCAGCCCCGGGATCAACCCCAGCCAGCTGCTTTCGGGCTTGGGGGATGCTCGAGGGCGATACCCCAGCGTGGGTTTGGGGCAGGAGGTTTCTCAGTTCAGCCCTGCCCGGTGCCTGCACCCCGCCCCCGGCACTCACCGTACATCTTGCCCTCATCTGAGAGGATGATTTTCCTCCGGCCGCAGGGTGGGTAGATCGCCAGCGCCTCCTGGAAGCTCTGCTCGATGTCCGGACTCCACACTCCCTCGGCATCATTGTCCAGACTCTTGTCCATGCCGTCCTGGCCATCTTCCCGCCCCTCCCCAGGGCTGCCGCTGGCGTTCCAGCTGTTGGACGCTATGGTGCTGGCTGCTCTGGGCTCCGACCCTGAGCCCCCACGGATATGGGACAACCTGCTGGGACACAGGGGACACCTGTCAGAGCCAGCAGCCCCTGCTGGGGCATGGGGTGCAGTGACAGCGTGGTGCCAGCTCTGCTCCTGGCCTTTGCCCTGTTCTCACTGGCACCCAGAGCAGCATCTCATTGTAAGGCATCAGATACACAAACAGGCTTTCCTCGGGGGCAGAGCATGATTTCTATGAGTACCCCCAAATCCAAGCCACAAGTGACCACCCAGGATCCACCCAAATAAAGTCTGGGAAGGAAACTGCCCCCAGCTACTGTATTACCCATACAAGGAACTTGGGCACATGGTGTTTATGGCTGACACCTTGGGACAGGGTGGCAGCAGCCCCACAGCCTGTGAACCCTGACCCTGCTCCAGTACCCACTGCCAAACAGCAGTCTCTTTGGGCAAGCTGGCCCAAAAAACACCCCTAGGCCCCAAAATCCCAGCTCCACCATGCCTGGCAAAGGCAGAGCTGGGATTTGAAGGGAGATGCTGAGCAGCTCCAAGCCAGACCCCACTAATGGGAACCATGTGGCCCGAGCCGTCCAGCAGCCCTCCCCTGGTACCAGGAGAGGCCCCCCCACCCTGAGGATGCTCAGCTGGGGCCCCGGGCCCTCCCCGGCTGGTGGGTGATGCTGGGGAGCCTTCAGCCCTCCTCCTCTTCCTCCTGCTGCTGCCCAGCTCGCAGCACAACAGCGTTTCAGTGTTTTGCAATAACATGTTTGGCGGCAGCTGCCGGCGGTGGGAGCGGAGAGGTGTCTCCTGCGCCGCCGCGCTTCCCGGACGGGCTGGGAGTGTACAAAGGTCTCCAGCACAGACATCTCCTTTTAAAGGAACTGCTGAGCCCGCTGGCTCAAGTGCGCTGCGAGGCCTTGCTTGCTGCCTCTTTTTTTTTTTTTTTTTTTTTTTTTTTTCCTTTTATAAAAAAAGAAACTTAGCCCCCCCATCGCTCCTCTCCTCGCTCGTCGCGATGTGATGTCAGCCCCTCCGGTCCCGCCGCCCGTCCCCCCGCCGCCGCTCCCCCTCTTGCTGAGCACTGTGGCCAAATAAGGAGAACTGGATTGGAGGGATTGTAGGATCGAGCCAGCCGGCCAAGGCAGGGATGGCGGCAGCACTGCAGGACGGGCCAGAGGCACCCTGGCTGTGCCTGCTGCTGCTGCTGCCTCCGTGGGGCAGCAATGCAGGGCACAAACCCCGCAGGGGATGGGAGGGCAGGGAACACAGGGATGGAGAGGGTGGCATATGGGACAGGCCCAGGGGGATCCTCACTCCCCTCTACAGCCCAGAGCATCAGGGCTCTGTCCCAGTGGGCTGCGACTGTCCTGGTGCTGAGCCCTGGCTGCTCTCCCAGGACCCCCACACTTGGGGAACCTGGCACTCCCCAGCTTCTGCAGCAGCCCCCAAAGGCCTCAATGACCCCACAGCAGCCCCGTGGCAAACCCAGACCCCTCAGCACCGTGGCAGCTCAGTGCCCCCAGTGCCAGTCTCAGTGCCAGGGACTCTGCAGGCTGGTGCCAGCCCAGCACACAGCACCCCAGGGCTGCCATCAGCTCACCCTGACAGGGGAAATTCCCAAGAGCTGGTGCTGGAGGGTGACTTTACAGGGACTCAGCAGGCCCCCTGCCCTCCCCAGCTGGGGATGGGTGTTTTGGGGGCCAAGGGAAAAGCTATAGACAGAGAACAAAACCACCACGGGGCTGGCTGCACCCCTGCAGGCAGCGTGCCCAGCGCCCTGGGTCACCGTGCCAGGCACTGCCTGCCCAGGCAGGGTGACAGCTGACCCCACACCCTGCCTGTGACACCCGTGTCCCCCTCCCTTGGCGGTCCCCAGCCCCCTCCAGCAGGGAAATCCCAGCCCAGGCTTTTCAGGGAAGCTGGGAGAGGAGGGAGGGCGATGCTGGGGCCCCGGCCAAGGTGCGAGGAAGCAGCTCCTCCTCCTTCTCCTCCTCCTCCTCCTCCACCGAACCTGCTTTTGGCCAGGCATTGGAAGACATTGGATTTCCTGGAGGGAGGGTGCATGCACCGCGCTGACGCAAGGCACGGCCGAGTGCCGCTCCACCCTGCCCTTACAAAACACCAACAACAGCAGCAATTAGGGAACCGGCACGGCTGGACGGCCCGCGGAGACCGCGGCCAGACCTGCTCGGCACGGGCAAGGGGACCGGACCTGCCAGAAAATAATGTCACCGGCTGCTGCCTCGCAGCTGCTGCGCAGGGAGAGGGGCAGGGAGACCACCCCTCCCATGGCACGGGCATCTCTGCAGGGTTTGGGCATCCCAGAGACCACCCCTCCCACGGCACGGGCATCTCTGCAGGGTTTGGGCATCCCAGAGACCACCCCTCCCACGGCACGGGCATCTCTGCAGGGTTTGGGCATCCCAGAGACCACCCCTCCCATGGCACGGGCATCTCTGCAGGGTTTGGGCATCCCCAGGACCCCTGAGCCACATCCCCAGGGGATGCTTGCCCGCTCTGAGGATGCTCATCACTCATAAGTGGGGATGGTCACTGGCACCCAGCCCAGGGGGGTGTCCCCACTTCCAGCTCGCTTGGTTCCAATTCACTCCCTGCATTTGTGGGGGGCACACGCTGCAGCCCACAGCTCTAGAGGGTGATGGAGGGGGCTGCACCCTTGTGAGGTCCCCCAGTGGATGTGGGGCCCAGAGCAGGCCGGGCAGGATGCCTGCAGGGCAGGATGCCTCCAGGGCAGCCCTTATCTCCCTGCGAGGTCAAGGCTGCCCAGGAGACTGGGACGGTGTTCCTGCAGCTCCCAGGGCTTGGCCCCAGCACCGGGGGCAGGGGACATGAGGAAACCTGGGGCCTGAGCAGGCAGTGGGGCTGCAGGACCTGTTGGGAGAGCTGCTTGGGGCTGGGGGCCCTGCTAGAGCTACAGGAAACCTGCTTAAACCCTGCAAAAGCAAAGAGGGAAGGGCACCTCAGAAATGGGTGTTTTGTGGTGGGTGAGGGAAGGAAATACTTTGGAGGCAGCATCTGCAGTCAGAGAAGCACCGTGGGCACCCTGTGAGTGCCAAAAGACAGGAGCAAGGTGCTGCTGGATCCAGCACAACCAGCTGTGATAGGGATCGGGTCAGGGACGTGCAGGGTGGCACAGGGGAGAGCACCTGGGGCTGGGCACGGGGACATTGTGACACGGGCAGAGGCGCCCGTCACTCCCACACTGCCCCCATGCACCCAGACCTCATCCTTGACCCGTGCTGCCAAGCTGGGGACAGCATATTCCTCTTCCCCAGCATGGTCAGCCCCAAAAGCATCATCCCATCTGGTGCACCATGAGGCACACCCCCAGCAGCCCTTGCACTGCCCCAAACCCTTGTGTGCTGCCCAAACTGGGACAGGGGTGGTGGTGGCTGCTGTCACAGCTCCTCCTCAAACCACCTGGAGTGGAGGGCACGGCCACCAGCACTGGCTCCACCAGGGGGATTGCAGCACAGCACAGCCCCAGCTGGCACTGCCCAGAGGGACAAGGTGTGGGGCAGAGCAGCCCCAAGGACGCCTTCTCACCTGGGGCTGCCCAGGTGGCAGGGGACACTGGGACAAAAAGGCTCTGCAAAGGTGCTGGGGACACTGCGGAGGCAAAGAACCCAGCAAAGACAGGGACGGGGGTCCAGCTGCATCCTGCCCCCATCCTGCCCCCATCCTGCCCCCATCCTGCCCCCATCCTGCCTCCATCCTGCCTCCCCATGCAGGGGGCCCAGGGCAATCCAGCCCTTCTCCCTCCCCCCTGCACCCAGACCCCACGGCAAAAGGATAAAAGTTCATGACAAGCCCGGGCAGGATCAGCACGGAGCAGCTCAGCCCTGCTCCAGCCCAGTGCCCCTGCGCCAGCCCTGTGGGGAGCATGAGGCTGCTGTCACCCCCTCCTTGTCACCGTGACTGATGGCACCCACACTCTGCAGGTGAGGGGGACACAAGTCCCCATCCTCCCTGGTGCTGAGCGTGTCCATGAGACAGCAAAGCTGGGGCTCTAGGGCACCCCAGCTCCTCCTGTCCTGGCACTCTGGGCTCAGTGAGGGCACAGCCTGCACTGAGTTGTAGGCAGGCAGAGATTTCACTAACAAGCCCCTCATTTCAGGCAGGGGAGCTCTGGCTGGGGGCTGTGTCCCTGCTCCTGCCTCTCCCCACCTGGTGACACGGCCAGGAGGAATGCTGCCCACACAGTCACAGCTCTGCAGAGCCCCTGGAAGGAAACCCAAAAGCTGTGGAGCTCCTGGGGGACGCCAACAAGACCACAGCACCCCAGAGAAGATGCTGCTGTGTCCACTGCAGTGCACAGAGCAGGATGCTCTTGGCTCTGCCAGGATGGCCCAGGATGCTCTTGGCTCTGCCAGGATGACCCTGCAGCTCTTCACAGGAGCCCCATACCCCTGGCACCCTGCCCAGGGACCCCTTGGGAACACCCTGGTGCCCCATTCCTGCAGGGAAACACCATCCTGGCTGGCACATGGCTGTGCCAGGGACAGCCAGAGCTCACCGGGGCGGGTGGCGCGGCACGAGGGCGGTGAAAGGAGGTTTGTTTACATTGTGCTCCTCTTCCAAACAGCTCTCAGGCTGTGCCGAGGGATTCCCTGGCTCGGGGAGGGAACGGTGGCCACCCTGCTCTCTCCCACCCAGGTTTGCACCTCCTGACTGGCCACGTCCTCTCTGAAGGGTCCCCTGGCACAGTCTGGGGAGCCAGGCGGTGGCAGAGCCCCCAGTGCACCAGGCCAGCTCCCTGTGAGACAGCCCAGCTAATTTCCTGCCCTCTATCACTTCCTGTCCCTTCCGGCTTGGCGGGCGGCTCAGGAAGCAATCGGAGTGTGGAAACCACAGGAAGCCACGTGGCAGCATCCCACCAGGGTCAGGAGAACTGCCAGGGCTGCCCCGGGCTCCCCGTGCCCCCC